ATTATCATTCCATAAATGGATAATATCATTCCATAATATGGAATGGCCCACCTCCCGGCATTATCATTCCATAAATGGATAATATCATTCCATAAATGATAATAGCGAGTCCACTATCCTAAGCAAGAGCCACAGTCTTGCCTCTTGCTGGGAAGGAAGACAGCCACTGGAGAAAGTTAACAAGTGACCAGCTGTTGGCTCCAGGTCCCTCTGTCCCACCTCACAGGGCAGGCTCCTGCCCCCTGATCTGTTTCGTGCCAGTTCACTCAGGGGGCTGGGTTTGGGCAGCAACCCCCCTGAAACCAGGGTTCAAAGGGCTGAGTTTCCCAGACCAGCAAGCTGGCAGCCTGCCCTAGTGCCCACAGTGGGCAAAGCGTGGGCCTCACCTCCTGATAAGCATTTGCTGAACTGGCAGTGCTGGGGTCAAAGGGCTTTTGGGTCCCTGCGGCAGCCAACACAGAGGAAGTGTGTGCGCCACCACGGGCTGCAGCCTAAGTAGCTGGAGAGCTGAGGCCTGCGTCTGGGCCCAGCGTCAGCACGTGACTTCAGGGTGTCCGCTGGCAGGGTGCTCTTGTGGCTTCAGTGAACAGGGAGGACACCAGCACTTGCCCTGCCCCCTCAACGGGGAAAGAAATCGTGGGCCTGAACCCTAGGACCATGGATGCTGGACACCCCCGGGGGAGGATGGGTCCGGAACGTCCCTGACTGCCTTCTGCCACAAGCGTAGCCGGGACCACGGGGAATCGAGAAGGGCAAAGTCATATCCACCACAGAGGCTGTTGGAAGCAAGGAAGAAAGAGGTGGGAAGCTGAGCAGGCTCCGGGGAGGGGCCAAGGAAACCGGCTGTGGAAATGAAGGCTTTAGCAGGAGAGCCTTAACACCTGAGCAGCAGATGGGCTCACGTGGGAGGGTCCAGGACGCTGGGACTCCACTCCGCCCCCTCCCACTCTGGATCCAGAGTTATCCCACCCCATTTCTTACAGCCTGCCCCCTCCCCCCCACCCAGGGTCAAGACTTCCTTCTTTTCCACCCTCCCGCTCCCTCCTCCACTCACTCGGCAACGTGGCCCGGGGCCAGGGAGCCCATGAAGGCGCAGGGGGCTCCAAGCAGGGCCAGAACAGTGCAGGAGTTCGAAGCGTTGCCGCCGCGCTGCCATCTTTGGGACAAGCACCTGCAAAACACGCGGAGGGTCCCTGCAGCTGCAGCAGGCTGGTGCCGGGATAAGCAAGGCCGGCCACAGTGCCCCGGGTAGGGCCCGTGACGTGTAAAAGCTGGGAGCTCCCCCTCAGAAAGCATCTCGACCAGCCCTCTCATTTTCACGCATTCAGGTCCATCACAAAGGAAGGCTCCACTGTGGGTGACCCCGTTCTCAGTTACCACGACCCGCCTCTCCCCCAGGTACAGAGCTGTCGCACCTTCAGCCCCGATGGCTGGAGAACACCAAGTGCCTCTTCCCACAGGTGTCAAATCGGCTCCCTGCTCCCATCTCAGGGGAGTCCACTTCAATAATAACTCGGGTGGGGCGCCTGGGTGGCTCAGTCGGTTAAGCGACTGCCTTCGGCTCAGGTCATGATCCCAGGGTCCTGGGATCAAGTCCCACGTCAGGCTCCCCGCTCTGCAGGGAGCCTGCTTCTCCCTCTCCCACTCCCCCTGCTTGTGTTCCCTCTCTCGCTGTATCTCTCTCTGTCAAATAAATAAATAAAATCTTTAAATAAATAAATAAATAAATAAATAATAACTCGGGTTAAAATAAGTAAGACAGGGAGCAAACCTGGACATTGAGGTCATTTAAGTGGGGGGCGAGGAGGGAAGGGGGAAGCTAACTTACATAATAATGTCAAAAGTTAGTAAGATTATTGGATGAAGACCAGTTTTTCTCCATTTTTTTTGTTTCCCTTTCTTTCAGCTTTATTGAAATATAATGGGCATATAACATTCTGTAAATTTAAGGTACACAACATGCTTTGAAACGGGCGTATTGCAAAATGATTACTACAGGAAGGTTAGTTAACACGCCACCCCATCACACGGTTACCTTTTTTTTCTTTAGTTTTTCTCTATCTTGACTGAAAATCTAACTCAAGGTGTACACTGAGGAGACCAAGTGGAGATGCACCTGCAGGGCTTCGTTGTTATCAACAACAAAAACAGTGACTTATGCGCATCAAAGCACTTTAATGATGTCTCATTGTGCGCCCACAATACCGTGGGGTAGACAGTGCAGGCTGTCATTTCTATTCTTCCAGTTCCAAAAAGAATAACTGTGGCCGCTTACAATAAGAACCACTAATTAAGAGAAATACAGGAAGCAGAATTTTTAGGCTAAGGTATATTGGCACACAAAACTTAACACTGAAGTTCCCTTCAGTCTCAGGAAAAGGGTTCACGATCCATCAGGAAGGATACTAGTTTGTAAAGGGACAAACATTTTTCGAGCTATGAGCTTTAGAGAAATTTTCATGCAGATTAGAACGGGGAGCCTCGTGGGATTTGACTGACTCAGGATCACACCAATAGTTAGTGACGAAGCTGCCATCAGAACCCAGGCGGCCTGACTCCAAAACCACCGCCATGTACTGTGTAGTTGTGAATGGAAAGTAGTCAGGCCCCGGCTTGGATGAGGTTTCGAAGAAAGGGTATACAATTTTACTTTGTGGAAATCCTTCAAAGTCACACTGATACCCAACTTCATGTGCAGAAATGCTTTGCTGAGCATGAGGATGCTTTCTGGAAGGCTCTTCTTGGCCTGGACTCTGGGAGGCAAGGCCGTAACTCAGGGGTCTGGCCAAATTCCAGGTGGTGGCTCCTGAGGGTCCCCAGATGCCTGTGGAGCCTGGAGAGCCTAGGAGAGGTGGGGCCGAAATGCCTGGGAAGAACTGGGTCCCCACTTGGGCTTGCTCATCTGGGAGGCACGAGAATCCAGGAGGTGGGCCGGGTGGGCTGGGCACGAGAGAGAGAGAGAGAGAGAGAGAGAAAGAGAGAGAGAGGCCCTATGGACAACCACACCGCTCTGCAGAAGAGCAGAACCATGGGGCTGGGGGAGGGGGAGGAGGTACACCGAGAGCAGGGGGCATGGAGAACACGGTGCCCTCCTTCAGAAGGAGCCGGTCCTGGTGGGAGCTAGCAGGATCTCCTTATCCTAGCCTCTCCAGTAAGTAAGCTCAAAGGGAATGGCACTGAAGCTGTCGTTGAAAGTGGCACTCTGGGTCTTCCCCAGGCCCTCCAGTCCTTGGGAGGCCCTGCGGCCTTGGAACCCACACTGTTCTCTTGAGGAGGTCGAACTCCTCACTGTGCCCGCGTCCTATGGCCGGCTTGACCTGGCTAGCTCTACAAAGCAGCCTACCCTTATGCCCCTCCCCCGCTGTCCCTGCCCTCCCTGGCAAGGGCTCTAACCTCTGGCAAACAGAGCAGCCCGAAGCAAAGGGTCAATTCCATGAGACGGGCAGCAGCAAAGGGAGAGGGAGCTCAGGAGACGACAGAGGGCTGGAACACTAGATTCCTACGAATTGTAATTACTGCTCTGCCACGCATTAACTATGTGGCCTTACAATAATTATTTAATTTCTCCACAGAGGTAGCTGCTTCCTCATCTGCAAGGAGGGGATTTCACTGACCCTTACACACTTCCCATGGGCTGCTGTAAGCAAAGTACGTGACAGTGCTGGGTGGGCCCAGAGCCTGGAGGCTACTCGGGTCTCTCTCCTCAATCAGAACAGGAAGAACTGGGTATTCATGGCTATGAGTGCTATAGTGTCTTGTCTGAGTTAAACCTTGAACTAGCCATTTATCCAGTTCTTGGCTGAGAAAACTGATAGCCAAGGAGCAATTCTCGGTATTGTAAGCACTAGACAGCACCAAGAGAAAGGCTCAGATTCCACCCCATAGAAATGCCCTTCTGGGATTACAGTGCAATGGTGAGGTTCTTATCAAGAGTAAATACGAGAGCCAACAAGCAACTCTTCAACTTCTACCAGACAACCAAGAAGGGTGTTGTTCACTGATTTTGTAAAAAGGACTTCTGGTAAACTCCTTTTGGAATTTAGCACCAGGGAAAAGTTGGTCATGGCACATGAGCCAGCTCCATCCATAACCCACAGGATTTCTAAATTTGCCTCTAGTGCCAGCAAGCCCTGAAGCCATAGTGAAGCTCAAATACCGCGGTTTTAAGTGTTCTTGCACTCTACCTGCACATACTTACTATTGAAAGCTACCTCAAAATTCATTTAAGAAACAGATGAGATATACGTAGTAGATAAATTAGAAGTAAACGCTGGTGAAAGACAAGTGCATCGGTCTTTTTGTTAGAAAGAAAGAAGCTGGTCCTGCCCCTTACTAGTTGCATGCCCTTGGATAAATCACTTCATCTCAGAGTTTCTAAACGCGGATAATGATTCCTGAAACGGGAATTGGCCAACACAGCGCTATCCAAAGCCTGGGTCTTATTATTAACGGCCTCAATTCTTTCCCTAGGTCCTCCGGGGCGGAGGGCACGGGATACCAGCTCCTGAGGCTGGACTTTCACTGCGGGGCCAGGCCCCGCAGACCTGGGGTTGGGTCTTGGCTGCCAGGCTCAAACGCGGGGCTGCAGCGGCCCCTGGGGTCTCCGAGGGGCCCGGGCGCCCCTACCTGCTGTCCGTGTCCTCCTCCGGGTACTTGTCCACTACATTGATGATGTCCAGCACCACTAGCCCCACGCACAGGATCTGCTTGTCTTCCATGAGGCTGCTCCCGGAGCTTTCTGCCCGCCTGGCTGACGGGGTTCCTCCTGGGCTCTGCCTCTTATCCCAGAGGATTGTGTCCCTGCTCCTGGGGCTAACGTGGCTCTTCTTCTGCGTCCCGAGCTCCTCCCCCAAGGAGGCTCCTGCAGCCGGGAGGGAAGGGAGCAGGTCCCTTGCTCCCCACGCCCACCGATTCAAGCGGGCCTGGGAGCGCAGACCCCGGGGCTTTGGTCCCCGGCTTCCCCTCAGCAGGTGGCGTGGCCCAGCAGATGGCAACGCCTCCCACTTCTCGGCCTCAGTTTCCTCACTTGCCAGACAGCCTCGGAGCTAACGCAAACCTCTCCAAAGCGCAGCTAGGCAATCTCCTGAATGCAAAAAAAGGTGCAGTACCAAGGCGCCCCCTGCCCCTCCCTCTCCCGCACTGGCGGCTCGCACTCCAGACCCTAGACCCGCAGACTTGAGCCGGGCCTCGCAGCTGCGCCCTGAACCCTTCAGCCCTAGCCGTCGCTCGCGCCGTCTACGCCCCGCCCCCGAGGCCCAGCCAATCCCAGCTCGAGGCCCCGCCTCCGTCGCGGAGCGGCGGGGACCTCTAGGAGGGGGGCGGCGGTCACGTGACGGGAGCCGGCTCCCAGGGCCCCCTGGCGGGCGCCGGCCAAACAGCCATTCGGGGGAGGAGCGCCGGGCCGCGGCCCAAAGCAGCCGGCCCCTCTCTCCGCAGGCGGGTGCACGGCAAGTGCGCGCAGAGCCACCAAGCGGGGAGGTGGGGGCGACCAGGATAGGGAGCCCAGGGCTCCCTCCTCCCCCCGGCCCCTCTGTACTTCTCTCTACCCTTGAACACATACTGGAGCAGACAGTTTCTTTTGTTTTGTTTTCTTTTTTAGAAAAACCAAGTGTCTTTATTCCTGAATAGTTTAGTATGGCGGTGGGGGCCGGAGCCCCTCGGGAGAGCCCTGCATCGGCCTAGAGACCCGCTGGAGGAGCTGCGAGGGTGCGAGGATTGGCTCCTCCGCAGTCTGGGCCCTGCAGGGGACGGCGAGCAGGCCAAAAGTCTGGACGAGGGGACCCCAGAGTCCCCGACCCGGCGCGCTCAGGCCATGGAGAGGAGTGCTCTGGGCGCCTGTGCCACAGAGGGTACGGGACGGCGGCTCGCCTAGGCTGCCGTGCCAGGACGGAGCCCCGTCCCAGGCGGGGAGCCCGGGGAGCCCCGTCACCCCCGCTGGCCCTTCGGCGGGCGTAGACACTTCGGGCTGGTCGGGCCCAGCCCCCTGTCTACACCTGTTCTAGCTCCAGGTCCCCATAGAGCAGGGCCCCGCTGAAGATGGTGAGCGGCTCCTCCGAGTGCGCCAGCTGCCCCATGACCAGGTCGACGCAGACCGTGTCTCCAGTCTGCAGGGGCAGGATGAGGCTGAAGACGCCCAGGGCGCCGGGGCTGGGCTGGCTCTCGGCGACTGGCTTATTCTCCAGGCCCTCAGGCTCATAGCCACCAGAGTCTATGCGGGCCACGCCCAGGTTGGAGCGGGACAGCACGGCCTCCACTTTCTCGTGCCGATGCCCAGTCAGCACCGCGCTCAGCAAGTAGCGCCCGGCCAGCGGCGCTGTGAACACGCCTGGGGACAAGGATGGCAGTCAGGAGGGGAGACGGGTGGCACGGGCCAGGGAGGTGTTGGGGAGCCCGCCCAGAACTCCTGGGCTAAGGAGAGAGCTGCTGGGTCTTGTCACCTGTCTTCCACTAGGATGTAAGTTCCACCAGGCCAGGGCATTGGGTGTTTTGTTCATTACAGCAGCCCCAGGCCTCCAAGAAAGAAGCGCTCCTTCCCCCCACCCTTAGCCCAAACTGTGGTGAGAATGAATAAATGAAGGAAATAGGGGTCTCCCCAAACCAGAGCATGAAAAGATTCCCCTTGCCCGAGGGGGCAAAAATGAGAACGTATCACTGCACAGCCTCCCGGGCCTGCCCCACTGCTTCCAGGCTTACCAGTCTCTGGATCATAGTAGCCGCCATCGTTGAGCAGGACTCTGTCAAAGGGCACTGTGCCTGGTTCGGACCGTGGCAAACTCAGGGCAGCTGAAAAGGCCACCCGGGGCACAGGGGCTGCTGGTGCCCCCTCCACTCCTGGGTAGGGGTAAGGTAGGGGTCAGAGGGCATGCTCAGTGCAGAACTGCCTGGCCCCCTTCCCCTCCTGGGTCTCTCCCTCCAGGGCTGCCTGAGGCCTTCCATCCTCCAACCCCTAGTTCAGTTCCCCTCCCTCCAGCACCGAATGAGAGGAACTTACCCTGCTCTCCCTGGGGACCTGTGGGAAGAGGGGAGGGAGGAGTGAGAAGTGGGGCAGCTCTCACTAAGTCACTCAGCAAACATCTGCTGAGTCTCTCTCAATGTGCTAGGTGTCACATAGACTCCAAAGCAGGAATGGGGGTATCAAGAAAAGGAAGAGTAGGGTCCATCCAGTTCAACTAGCCCCTAGCCTTTCACACCCTTCATAGCCCTGTGAGCTCAGCCTTAGTCTTCAATACAGTACTAAGGCCACCATATCCAACTAGCCCATATAGTAACTGTCCCAGCTCCTAGTCACTGTCAGCCATGTAGGACTCCCCACCCCCCCAACTCCTTGCCCTTTTCCTCCCTTCTCTGTCAAGTTCAGAATGGAATGCATGTCAAGCCTCGGGCTGCTAGAGGTGTGGGGAGCCCTGGCGGCGGTAGAAATCTCAGCTCACATACCTGGTGGCCCCACGGGCCCCGTTTGTCCATCCTTGCCTGGAAGTCCCGGAGGTCCAGCAGGGCCTGGTGGTCCCTGTATCCCAGGAGGCCCTGGGGGCCCAGCCTCACCTGCGGGCCCTACAGTGACAAAATTAAGTTGAGGGAAAGCCATGAAAGGAGTTTCCAAAGGACAAGGAAGGTCGTGGCTCCATGGGCAGGTTGGTGGGGCTCCTTGCTGCCCATGCTGGATACCTGGCTGTCAGAGCAGCACCCCACCCCTACCCACCGGCCTGTCTGAGCTGCCAGGGGAGAGTGGGGAGCTGGGAGCTTGGGTCATCTCTTGTGGACAAACCAACCCCCAGGACAGTGGTGGGTCTGTAATTCATGCTGGGTAGAGCAAGGAGAAAGTATATAAGGTTAAGACTGGCTGTTGTGGAGGAAGGAAGGAGAAAGAAAGGACCTGAAAGGGGTCCCCCCACCTCCCACTGCATGCTTCCTCTTGCCCCCTCACCAGTGAGGTCCTTCAGACTGAGCTGGTGAAGCTGGTCCTCCAGGAGCAGCACGGAGCTGTTAAGGACACCGAGCCGCCTGCCCAGGCCTGCCTGCGCCCCCAGCAGCTTCTCTAGCAAGGCTGCCTGTGTCTGGCTGGTGCTGTTGGTTTCCCGTAGCCCAGCCCAGAGCCCAGCCACGTGTCTGGAAAGGCCCTCGCGCAGGCCCTGCAGTCCCCCGGCCACCGTGTCCAACCGCTCACAGACTCCCTCGAGGCGGCCCAATCGCCCCTCTAGGCTGGGGCACTGGCCGGCCTGTGCCTGTCCCTCTTCGAGGCCTCGGAAGCGCTCCTCACTCTCTGTGGCATGCTCTGTGGCCTCCTGCTGCAGCCTGTTAATTTCTGAGATGATGCGGTCCTTGGTGGCTCCTAGGTCAGCCAGATCAGCACCCTGGCCTTCCACAGTGGTCTGGAGCTCATGCAGTGAGTCGTTGAGAGAGCTGAAGGTGAGAATAACCTCCGAGAGCTCTCCTTGCAGGGCCTGGAGGGCTGAGCCTGAGCTCCCCCCAAACACACTGAAGCCATCCAGAGGCCCTCGGCTTGGTCCCCCAACACCTGGGCCAGCCCCAGGGCCCCGTGGGGGCAGCAGGGGGCAGGAGCAGCGCTCCACACCATCCCGAAGGCGGCCCAGCTCCTCTTGGACACCACCACAGGCCCCACAGCCCTCATCCCCACGGGCCTGCAGTAGTCCCTCCAGTTGGCCCAGCTGTGCGGCCGTGAGATTCAGCTGCATTGCAAACTCTGCAATTGTCTCGTCCTGCGCGTCCACGTGACCCTGGAGCTGGCCCACGACCCCTTGCAGTTCCTCCAGTGCAGCCTGCTGGGCCTCCCCGGCTGCTTCCACCTTGTGCAGGCCTGAACCCACCAGACGCAGCTGCCCCTCGCTGTCTAGCACCCTGCGCTCCAAGGCACTGAGGATCTCGCTGACCTGGGAGTCCTGCTCCCCAGGGGCCCCAGAGCAGAGCTGCCCACACGCCTGCACGGCCCCTGCCACCTGCTCTTCCAGCAGATCCAGACGCCCACCCAGCACCCCGCTCACGTTGGCCAACAGTCCCTCCAGCTTTTCTAGTCGGCCCCGGACAGCAGGCAGCCAGTGGCCCAGGCCCCCAGGCCGCCCAGGCCAGCCCTCCTCCTGTTCTGAGGGACCCAGAGTGGAGTTGAATTGGTCCTCCAGGCGAGAAAGGCGGGATGCTAAGCTGGTGTAGCCTGGGGGGTGGCCCCCCTGCCCCGCCGCTCCTCCCAGCTCGGTGCCTCGCCGCCCGCTCAGCACTGTCACCGAGCCGGCCACGACATCCAGCCTCCGCTCCAGCTCGGCCAGCCGCCGGCCCAGCTCGGGAGGGCAGCACTCCTGAAGGGGCCTGCGGCCCACTGCCTGCCCGGGGACCTGCCGCTGCCGCTCTTCCACGGAGGCCAGTAGCTTCTCCAGGGCCCGCAGCCGCTCTCTGTCCTCCTGCTGCTGCCGGCGGAAGTCATCGAGCCCCGTCAGGCACACCGAGCAGGACTCCTGCAGCCGCCGCTCCAGCTCCCGCAGCAGCTCCTCACTGGGGCCCGGAGGGGCCGGGGTGGGTTCCAGGGCCCCGCCGCCACCGCCGCTGTGATGGTTGTTGAGATGGCCCAGCTCCTGGTCGTGGGTGGAGACGCGGTTGTCCAGGAGCTGCAGCTGCTGCTGGATCTCACTGAGGGTTTCGTGCACGCCGGGGCGGGCCGCTGCATCTGCGGGCTGCTGCCTCCCGTTAAAGGCCGTCTCCACAGCCCTCTGGACGTCTTCGGCCAGGCGCCCACTCAGTCCCTGCAGGACACCTCGGAGGCCCTGCAGCTCCTTTGTCAGGCTCTGCACCTGCTCCTCCAGCTGCTGCACCTTCTCTGAGTCCCCAGGACCTGGCAGAGAGGGGAAGGCATCAGGCACGGGGCCGGACCTCAGGGCTCAGTGCCTACCTCCCAGGCCCTGCTCTCCCCAGCTCCAACACGAGGTCCTCGCTGATTCGGCCACTCCTTAGCTGGGTACTTTGGGCAAGAAAAGGTGGAAGGAAACTCCATTCACTGAATGCCTCTAGGCCAAAACCGTACCATGGCTTTTCCCCCCTTACAACAGACTCCATTGGACAGACATGGCAGCTTTTCCCATTTGGTAGACCGTGAGAAAGAGAACTGGAGGAGATTAAGGAACTGGGCCCTGGATTACAAGTTTAACAAGCGGCAGAGCCAAGTTTCAAACCCAGCTCATCCATCTGACCACCAAGTCTACTGTCCAGAGTGTCTTTCAGAAATTGCTTC